TGGGGTGTCCTCGGAGAGTGTGAGCAGGGGGCGGGGCCTGGGGAGCTGGGCGGGACCCAGGACCCCGAGTGGGAATGGGGTGAGGTCGGGCTGGCTGGAGACTCCTGGAGTGTGTCAGGGTTGGGGGGGGTGTCAGTGGTTCCCAGGATGGGGTGGGGCTTTCTCCAAGAGGACTTGGAATCCCTGTCACCAATGGACAGGGACAGCTGTTAGCTCCTGCTCCACTCACCTTAAGGTCCTCGTTGGTTGAAGGGCCCTATTCTCTGGGAGGAGAGTGCAAGTGTTTCCACCTTGAGGGGAGGGGCCAACCACCACCCCGCCTCACTCATTTCTTTTGGTGGGGCACTTTTCACTGCCCCCATTCTGCAACTTTCCACCTCATTCTAAAGAGCCTTCTTTGTTTAATTTTATAGACAAAGTTGTCCCGGGATAGTGTCAAAGACTGTCTCTTCAGTAAGAAATGATTCCTTGACTAAAGGGGACCCTGCTCTGTTTCCACCCCCAGAATTTCTTCCCATTTTAACATTTGGAAACCCAGAAGTTATCCATCCCAGAGTTGGGTGAAGGAAAGACATAGCTCAGAAGCTCTGATTCTCGCCTCCCTCCAGATCCCAGGGAGAGGTCTTCCCTTTGGAATATCTTAAAGATCATCCTTCCAAATTCTAGGAAGAGGGAAGACAGCCCCCCCCCCGCCATTTTTCATCCCTTAGGAATGAGTTTTTCTCGAGCTCTGACTTCTTGATTTTTCTACTGCAGCCTTACCCTCTTTCCCTGTTTTGGGTAAAAGTCCTGAATTTTTAAAATGTGGGAATATGACTGACCTAAGGAAGAGGTCTTCTGGAGTGCTGCAGAGGTCCAGGTGATTGATGATAGGAGCTCAGTGGGGTCCAGGTGATGATGGCTGGCTGACAGGGCCCCACCCCTCTCTTCCTCCAGGGGGAGCTCCTGAGCCCTTGCCGCTGTGACGGCTCAGTGCGCTGCACACACCAACCCTGCCTCATCCGCTGGATTAGTGAGAGGGGCTCTTGGAGCTGTGAACTCTGCTACTTCAAGTACCAGGTCCTGGCGATCAGCACCAAGAATCCACTGCAGGTGAGGTGCAGGGAGAGGACTCAGAATGGGCAAAGGCCTTTCAGACGTCTGAACTAGGAACCTTGCAGGAGCCTATTTCATCTCATTTACTGTTTTCCCAGAGCTACCTCTTTCCACTATTATGGTCTAGAAATCCTCCAGTTAGTCACAAAGACACTTATTGGATGCCAGCTTATGTTCTGATCCTGTTTTAGACTCTTGGGACAAGAGAAAAAAAGATGATGATCACAAACACATTGTATTTTCTGTATGTTGTTTTGTTGTATATTAACTCTTTTAATCTTCATAATAATCCTATTAGATACTATTATTGTGCCTGTTTTAGAAATGAGGGCACTGATAAACAAAGAGATTAAAAACCCGCCTAATGTTACTCAGCTAGCAAGTGATGGAGTTAAGATTGGACCTATATGTTTGGGCTTCAGAGCACTTACCCAATTCTGCCTTTCTAGAATAAGGTAGACAAATGGTGCTGGGTGAATGCCATGTTTTAAGGTTAGATCAGAATATGGAGAAGATAAATTTTAGTTCTGCCTGAGCAGTGTAGGGAAGGCTCCTGGCTTCAGAGCTGTCCACCGTGCACTCTCTATCCCTTCTGGTGACTTTTTGGAGTCCTTTCTCCCAAACAGTGGCAGGCCATCTCCCTGACTGTCATTGAAAAGGTCCAGATTGCTGCCATAGTTCTGGGCTCACTCTTCCTCGTTGCCAGCATTTCCTGGCTCATCTGGTCCTCACTCAGCCCTTCAGCTAAGTGGCAACGACAGGATCTGCTCTTTCAGATCTGCTATGGCATGTACGGCTTCATGGATGTTGTCTGCATAGGTAAGAATATTTCTGTCCCCTGTACCTGCTCAGCATCTTCCTTTACTCACCCACCTAAATTCCCTGCCCACCCCTAGTTTCATGGCCATATTTTCTCCTAGTAGAGAGTGTTAAAGCTGTCCTGGTGCCCCTTCCTTCCCTGCTTCTCTTCGGTCCTTTGAAGCTCTATCTTCTCACTCTGCAGAAATGCATGCTTAAGAACCTGTGGCCTAGGTCTGGGCAGCAGTTGACCCTGGATTTCTTATCCCTGTTGCTTAGGCCTCATCGTCCATGAAGGCTCTTCTGTCTACCGTATCTTCAAGCGCTGGCAGGCAGTGAACCAACAGTGGAAGGTCCTGAATTATGACAAGACCAAGGACATAGGAGGAGATGCAGGGGGAGGGGCAGCGGGCAAGCCAGGCCCTAGGACCTCAAGGATGGGCCCCCCTGCTGGGGCCCCCAGCCGGCCCCCAGCTGCCCAGCGCATGCGGACGCTCTTGCCTCAGCGCTGTGGCTACACAATCCTGCATCTCCTTGGACAGCTGCGGCCACCAGATGCCCGTTCCAGCTCTCATTCTGGCCGAGAGGTTGTCATGAGGGTCACCACAGTCTGACCTGGACTTCAGGAGCAAGGATCTTAAGTCAGTGCATTAGCCAGCGATGAGTGAGCTCTCCTGGCTGCTGGAGGTATGGCCTAGATAAGGTGTTTGGAACACAGTGACCCCACCACTGAGGATCTCTGTGGACAGCCTCAAACTGGAGACATTGTCTGGCCTCTACTGCCCACAGGGTAGACATCTGGATGACATTCCAGCTCCCACTGACACCACCTCATACTCATCTTGAGATGGCCAGAAAGCAGGCAGGGAGAACAGCTTTTCTTCCTGGAGAGAACCATCTTTACCTCAGCTCTAGGGCCTCCAGCCCCCTGGCTCTACCATGGTGACTTGGTGAAAGGAGACCAATGCCAGAAAAAAAGGGGCTGTAGACCCCCACTCCCCATCCCATGGCCACAGGGCATCTGGCAATAAGACTAGTAAACATTGACCTCCCGTTCCCTGCATGAGGGCGGGGGACTTCCCCCTGCTCCACCCCCCCATTGCATGGGGGAAGAGCATAAAGAATCATTTATATGCACGTGGAGACTCCTTTCTCATCTGGGGCTTTTCTGGGGTGCTGGAGGGTGTGGGGAGGCTTCTCTGCACAGGTTGCAAGTCCCAGATGCAGCAAGCAGTGCATTTGGAATTGGAGGAAGGACTCCCGCCTACTGGTGAATAATTCATATTGGCTGCTAGGTGGCAGTGCTCAAGAGGTAGCCGAAGAGGGGTGGACCTGCCACCTGTGAGTTGTGTGATTTAGGAAAAAATCTCTCAGCTGTTGTTTTCCTGTCTACCTCATAGAATTGGAATGAGGATAAACGAGGGACAGGCTGGATACTATTGCAAAGAAAATTGATAATGGCATAAAAATATTTCTGGGCTGGTTGATGGTTCATTTATTTATTTATTTAATTTATTTATTTTTCTTTTTGAGACAGGGTCTCCCTGTAATCCCAGCTGACCTGAACTCACTATGTAGAACTCACAAAGATCCGCCTGCCTCTGCCTCCCAAGTGCTGGGACTAAAGGCATGCACCACCACGCCTGGCCTATGGCCCATTTATTTTAAGCAGTAGCTGGTATGACAAATTCCAAAATCTGTTTTTCATCAGAAGTGGCACAGAACTTTGGAATTTTGATGATAAAATAGATACAGAAACAGAAAGGGAAATAGATACTGTAAATGTGGAGGATGGTAGGAATGAGAACTCTTCTGACCCTCCAAACATTGAGACCTAGGGCCTGGGAGTGAAGACTGGAGCCACTCAGCCTATTCTGAGAGTGTCTGTGTTCCATTAGTCCTTTCCAGGTACTGTGCACCCCCAGAAAAAGTGTGAGATGGATATGGACTCATTTGGAATGACACAGAGTGAACTTCTTACCTCACCATTGTGTTTCCAACCCCATTTGAAACTGTTTCTATGGTAGTTGAGTATCACAGGTCTGATCCTCGTATGCCTAGCTAGTGCTATTAGTGGAAGGTGCTGTGCTTGAAGGCAGAAGCACAGGAGGGCTATTGTTTATTAGAGAAAGGATTTGGGAAGGACTTGTTGAAATATGGGTCAGAGGGCTGGGGGTGTAGGTCAGTGGTAGAGTACTTGCTTAGCATTCATGAGGTCTTGGGTTTGATCCCCCACACCATCAAAAAATGTGATCAGGTTGAAGTTTGGTCCATTTCTCCTGAAGCCTGGGGGCTGGGAATTATATGAATGATGGTGTCCTTTAAGTGAACCGTTCATGAGCAATTAAAAATTTCCTTTATACATTGCTAAAGTCAGATCCAGAGGCCTTTCTTATTATTGGTCCTCTTCCAGAAGGTTCTGCTCTGCCTCATCCCTTGAGACAGCTTGGGAAAGCTGCTTCTCTTCAACGGCCCACCTATCCTGAAGCATGGGGAAACCTAGCTCCACTTCCCTCCTGGAATAAGTGAACCGTTCATGAGCAATTAAAAATTTCCTTTATACATTGCTAAAGTCAGATCCAGAGGCCTTTCTTATTATTGGTCCTCTTCCAGAAGGTTCTGCTCTGCCTCATCCCTTGAGACAGCTTGGGAAAGCTGCTTCTCTTCAACGGCCCACCTATCCTGAAGCATGGGGAAACCTAGCTCCACTTCCCTCCCGACAAGGGTCCTGGCCGCTCTCCATGGTGCTGGTATCAGATTGGCTTGGTGTAGGAACCAAAGCTGCACTGGGGGTCTGATTTACTACCAAGTGTGAGGGTTCTGAGAGGATCAGAGTAAAGGAGAAAGCAGTTCAGAGTTCTCCAATTTCCTGGTGGGAAACTTTCCCCAGAGACATACTAACACTCCCCACCTGGGAGACAGAAGGGTCAAGCTTTATTGATTTGCCATTAGCAGAAGAGCTGGGGTGATCAGATAGGGGATAGCAAATCAGAGTGACTATTAATGCCTGTGCTGGTAGAAGGGCTCAGGTAGATAAGACACATGTGGAGTTTTTGCTCCAAGCCTGGGATGTCCCTCATAATGGTGCCTCATGGAAGCTTAGACATACCCTTGTGCACTGTGAGTCCTAAAGCTTCACTAAGACAGTACTTTTCCTTCTCCACCACCCAAGAAGTCTTAGGTCCAGGAGCCAGCCATACAGAGTCTCCTTTTTTCTAGCTTACATAGATCCTTGTCAAGGAAAGGGGTTATAGGCATTGCTGCTCTCAAGTGGGCTTTTCTCTTTGGCCTCTGAACAGCACAGAAGGAGGGTAGAAACAGAGAAATGGGTCTTATAGATGGCTTTATTCTCCCTTAAAGCTCAAACCTGCTAAAAATCATGTATTTTATGTTCAGGTTGAACTTGGTGATATGTGAGTTGAGGTGGAGAATGAATGTCCAGTAGAGGAAGTGTTGAGCGAAGAAGTAAATGTACTTGGTCTTCATAAGGCATGCCCCGCTCCTATGGATCTTGCAGGATTTGATCTTACATGGAAAGCCTGCTGGCTGACTAAGTGTCTGTGGTCAGGGAGCCATGTTTAGGGGCAGAGGGTGGAGCAGACTCTATACCCAGCTAATTGGAATGGGGGAGGGAAAGAAAAATGCAAGTCCTGACCTGGGGAGGGTAATCTGGGGTATAGAAGGAACTGTGCAGAGTGTTGAGAGATTTATTCAGATGGAAGCTGAGTTAATCTGTATACATTACAAGAGGAGTAGTGTGTGCAGTCCCTGAGGGGGGGTCAGAGAGTGCTGACACAGGGAAACAGATTTTCTCTGCCTGGCCCCCTTCTCCTGCCTCCATGCCCCAGGGTTTCTGGCTACTCATTCAGCTTTAATTCTGTCTACCTGACTCCACTTCCCTGCCTGTACCCCTGTCTTTGAAGGACATTATCTTGGAGTAACTTTGCCAGAGACAGCAGAGGGTGTCTCTGGAAAATTGAAGGGTGGCCTTCAATTATGGGAGTTCAGGTTCCGAAAGCTTACCAAAGAGTCAGCTGCCTTGGCCCATCCCTGTAAGCCCTTGGCTCCTCGACCCATTTTACAACTTAGCTCTCACATTTACCATTTGATCCCCCCCCCATCTCTTCCAGGAAGCCAGATAGACTTGGCTATTCCCACTACAGACAGAAACATGTCTGGGTTTGCGCATCACAAATCACTCTTCCAGATGGAGCATCCAGACCTCCCATTGTTATGGGAGTCACTCCCAGGACCTGAGAAGCCAAGGTGGGAGATGGGGGTCAGTATCTTGCCAGGAGTAGGAAAAAAGTAAGTCAAGGATTAAACATTTTATTTGAAAGTTTGTTAATATTTTAAAAAATTCAGTATAAAGACAGGCCTTGAAAGAGGCAGGCCAAAAAGATGGGAACTAAGTAGTGGAGCAAGGCCATTTAAGTGTCCAAAGAGCCATAGAGAGTTAAAAAAATTTTATTGTACGCCAGGCCAGGGCAGATTCACCTTCCTGGGGCAAGATGAAGAAGACAAGGGGAGGGGCTGGAGAGATGGTTCAGCCGTTAAGAGCACTGGGTGCTCTTGCAGGGGACCCAGATTCCATTCCTAGCATCCACATGGCAGCTAACAACTGTCTGTAACTCCAGTTCTAGGGGATTTGATGCCTCTTCTAACCTCCAGAAGCATTATATGGGTGCACTTGCATATATGCAGACAATATGCTCATACACATAAAATAAAAATAAATAACTTTTTAAAAGAAGAAGAAAAGGAGTAGGTAGAACCTGGTAAGCTACTCATCCTTTCTGCCACATGGTCCAGACTCAGTCTGAGAATGTGTATGGTATTGCTGAGCCAGGGATAGGCCCTGACAGGAGATCTAAAGACCAAATAAGGCTGGGAGTGGTAGTATTTGTAATCCTAGCACTGGGGAAGGGGAGGCAAGAAGATTGAGTTCAAGGACAATCTGGGCTACATAGCAAGGCTCCATCTCAAAAGAATAAAAAAAGACCAGTAAGGCCTCATCCCTCCTCAAAGAGCTCACATGCTTAGAGGGAGAACCAACCAGGTACAGACCAGATGCACAATTACTTAGCTCATGCCATAATAAATGCTTAGCCAGCACATCAATGAACACCATGTAAGCACCAAAAGAACAGTGGTTGAATCTTTCTTTAGGCCACTAGGGTTATTAGTTAACATCTGAGTTGGCCCTTGAAGGATGTGTTAAAACCTGAGCTAGACCTTGAGGGATGACCAGGAGAAGTACTGAGCACGAGGAGGGACCATCGTCTGTCAGGACCTACTGAGTCAGGCCAAGTACATACTTTATACATAAGTCAGGCCTACCTCCTGCAGTCTAAGACAGAAAGGCCTCGGGCAGAGGTGCATTTCTTATGCCTAGTTAGAGAAAAACGGTAGATGACAACAGCCTCCTTCCATAGGACTATCTGTCTATAAACTGTAGATTGATGCTTCTCTCAGGTACCAGGACAGTCCGGGTCATGGGTCTGATTGGGGGAGCACCTGGCTCAGGCAGCACCTCAAAATGGGTCAAGATCTAGAAAGGGAGGAAGAAGACTATTACTGTGGGTAGATCTGTAATGGGAGGATGGATTGATAAACAGCATCATTAGCATCAAAATGACTAATGTTGGGATGGCACCTGTGGCCACTAAGAGACTTCTTGGCCAGTCAGGTAAGGGAGTAGGGAAGGGAAGAAGATAGTCCAAATACTCTTGCTTATACCCCAGGCCTTGATGGGACTGTTGTAGTTCCAAAGTTTAGGTCTGCTGAGTCTTATGTTTTTCGAAGTCGTCAGAGGACAAGAGCACCCACATTTAGAAGGATTGGGTCTTTCGAGTCTGGGGATGGTATAAGTTCTAGATCACTTACTTGGGCCAAAGCCATTTGTAGCTCAAGCTCTGCCAGGCGTCTCCCCATGCAGCTGCGCTTGCCAAAACCAAAAGGAAGAGATGCAAATGGATGGGGGGCTGGGCTCTCCCCCAGCCAGCGAGTTGGATGAAAAGAGTTTGGCTCTGGGAACTGGGCAGGGTCTCTTGAAGTGGCATAGTGACACAGAGAGACCAGTGTCTGGTGGGGGATGAACACAACTTGTTAGTTCAGTAGCCAGGTATTGTGGCCCACACTTATAATTCCAGTCCTCAGGAAGTAAGACAGGAGGATAGTGAGTTCAAGGCCAGCTTCGGCTACATAGCCACACCCTAACTCAACACTCTCATCCCCTACAAGGCACAGATTTATCAGTCTGAGCAGAGGAATGCAGAATGGGTGAATGCGAACAAGAGGATCTGTGGACAGGGACAAAAGTAGGCCCTCATTGATGATGAAGTTTCTCTGCTACCCCATTATATCCTAGGGGGCGGTACTGGGGGCATAGGGTGGGCTGAAAAGCTTTGGGGGGGGCTGTTTGAGAATGGCTAGGGTTGGAGATAGTAAAGAATGGCTTAGCAAAAAAGCTTTACTCACGTTTTGGGGGATGATGTAGTCACCTACATGGATGTCTTTATCTGGGACACGGGAATTTCCAGGCACTACAGGGTACAATCTAGGTCACAAAGCAAAAGATGGGGTTTCAGCAAGGTGGGGTTGGAGGATACAGCTTCTCCTCATCTCCCACTTCCACTATCTGCTTCCTCAGCCCTCCCCTAGCATTTCTCTAGTTCCTCCTTTCCTTCCTTCTCACCTCAACACTTCCTTGATCACAGCCTTCAACAGGGGTAGCTGGGATAGAACAGTAGCGTGGGGGTGGGTACAGGAGGCACAGGCCAGGGCAGCTGTGATCTCAGAGTGGAGTGCCGACTGGACTTCAGGGTGCCGGGAGAGCTCGTAGAGAGCCCAGGAGAGTGTGTTGGACACCTGAGGGAAGAAGTGAGAGCATCTGAGATGTCAGACACAGGAACTCAGGTTAAAGAGTAGGATAGGGTATGGTCTGGGGCCAAGGAGGTACTAAGACTAAGCAGGTATACATTGCCAGAGTGGATTCCCTCAATCAGGAAAGTGGTCCTAGAGCCTGGGGAGCTACACTCTGGAAGCCAGGCTCACAGCATGGAGAGGGAATCTCACCGTGTCCACTCCAGCCAGTAGCAGCTCTGTCACATTTCCCACGATGGACTGGATAGGCAACTTCTCCCGAAAAAGGAAGTAAGTCAAGTGATGCCGAGATGACATGTTCTCCTCAGGCCTTCCCTGGTTTCTCACAGCCACTTCACCCTCTCGCAGCTCCACATGCTGCTGGGCTGAGAAGGAAGAAGGCACACCCATGCCTCACTACCCCCTTCCCCTCCCTGAAGCTTTAGATCCTCCCAGCCCCCTCACTTCTGTACCTTACCAAAGTCAAACATCTTGTCCCAGTCTCGGCAGAGGCGGGCCCAGGGTCCAGGCACTAGGCGGTGCATCCAGTCGGGCATTGCCATGGTCAACAGTGTGGACACAAACACTGAGCCTACTGCATGGATGAAGGTCACTGTGTCTGGGGGAACTTCAGCTTCCAGGCACCCCAGGCGGGAACCCAGCAGCACGGCTCCTATGCCTGGCCGGGAGGGGGAGCTGTCAGACATCGCGAGCCACGGGCCAGAGCCACCTTACACCTGTCCCAGACTCCGTTATGGGACTCACCTTCTAGTCCAAATTTGTAAAACTCTCCGGCCACATCCCGAACCAGGGCGGGCGGCCCGGTACCACGGCCCCGCTGGCGCCGAAGTCTTTGCACAAGGTCATGGACCACGTCGTACAGAGTTCCTGCATAACCAGAGGCTGCTTGAGGCCGAAGGAGTAGCGGGCCCAGGAGACTTCGGAGCCTCTGCCATTCTCCGCCTTCCCTGCGGGGGTGCAGAAGAGGGCTTGTCAGGGAGGTCGGCGTGTGTGGAGAAGAGGGTGACTAGAAGTTTTGGGTCTGCTTGCTCCGGGTGTAGAAACCTGCCCCTGTCCACGCCCATCTTCCATCTCCTTTCATCTTTAGTTATTTCCTCTAGGGAGAGGGGCGTGTATTTCAGGGTAATTTGAGTCACAGACGCTTAGGTTATTTCCAGATTCTAGTACCCTCGCCTAGTCTTCGGGTTCCTAGGATTCTGGCCTCAATGGATACAGAGTTGAGGGGTGGGTGCTGGGGCGAGGACAAACAGCTCAACCTGAGTTTGAATAGTACACATCGGAGAACACGAAGATGTCAGAAGGTTTCTGGATACCACCTCCCTCCCTCCAAGCCACAGATAGTGTGTGCTGCCAACCCTAAGCAAGGTTGGGATGGAGGGTACAGGCTCTGGGAGCCAAGGGGGACTCACGCGGTAAGAAGTCCGCAAGCCCGCTGGCTGCGGCGACGGTGCTCCGCCCAAGATGAGAAACCGCAGCGCTCCGGACAAGGACCCTCTTGTCGGAGCAGCTGCTCCACGAATGCAGGGTGGGCCACATACACTGTGCGCAGAGTTCCAAAGCTGGCCGACCATATTGGTCCGTAGCGTGCAGAGCCTTGCACCTGGGAGATCGCGAGGCGGACAAAAGGACGCCTGGGTCCGAGACCCGCAGCTTGGCTTGTGCCAAAGGGCCTTGGCTAGGCTTGGGAGTGGGGAGCTTTTCCAGTTTAGGCTAGCGAAAGCCCTGATGTTGCAAACTTTTTCTCCTAGCCCATGAAACTTTGAGCAAGATGGGCAAAATAGAGTAGCGACTTTGCATAAAGCAGACATTCAAGACTTCTCTTTGGTTATCTGGGTATAACCTAGGCGGAGAAATCCCCCAAAGGCCCCGCGCCTAGATTGCATCTCTCAGGGTCTCCAGTAAAGGCGCAGGTAGCTTTAAGTCAAAAGCGAACGGAGCGCACAGAGCGCACTCACAGAGCACTTCCTCTGGTGACGCGCTGGTCCTGGACCCGCCCGGTGCCTCAATGTCTGTACCATGAGAGTGCTTCCCTTTGCTGGTACTACTCCGGGGCAGCAGAGCCGCCTCCTCCAGTCTCAATGTGCCTTTCCCATAATCCCCAGGTAACCCCTTCTCACTGGCGCTTCTTCCTGAGTTCTGCATTGCACTGTCTCTTTCTGGCATTGAAGCTAGTTTTCCCACCTCAGCCCCAGGAATGGTAAGGCGGCCCATCTTACCTGCAGTTCATGTAGCCTAGACAGCCCGCCTTTGCAGAAAAGTTCGGTCAGGAAGCTAGGCATAGAGGGCCCTGGGATGTCCGACAAGCTCTGGGGAACTGAGCCAGAGTCTCGGGAGCCGGGTGAAGCGTCTAGCTGGGGAGGGAAGCGGACTCGATGGAACACTCTGGAGGCAAGCTTGACCGCCTGGGTCATGGTTAAATTCAGAGAACCCACTCAAGGAGAGTTCTTCTCCAGAGCATCTTGCCCAGTTGCCTGAACTCCTATTTAACCCTCGGCCCAGTAGGTGAAGACGCCCCTCACTAAGCTCCTCAGCCAATCCCTTTTGCAGAATGGTGGGCGCTGGAGATCAGCACTCCCAGGAAAAGTAGGCGGGGCTGGGGCTTCTTAGGGTTTCCCATTGCAATGATTCCTTATCCCCGCAGGAGGCCTATTTTAGTTGCTCCTCCTGTGCTAACACCCTGGTCCAGCAGCCTAAAATTCTCTTCCCGGGAAAGGCTATTTAGTATGGATTACAGGAGCCAGTCCCCAGCATTGGCAGTTCCACCCCTTCCCCAGGGAACCAAGCCCCTTCAGGCCCATCGTTGAGAATTCCCACCCTCCATCACTTCCATGAAGAACTAGGGAGAGACTCAGCTGCAGCTATTCCCATATTCTTGGAGCATTGGGCTGCCCCTTCTCAGCCTGTGAGGATTTGCCTTCACTAGCCACACCCTCCTCTCCCTCTGCTCCATGCACCTGCCAGATGGCATGTGAGTTAGTGGGCTAAAGTCACTCCAGCTAGCCTTCATCTTTGTTTCTTGGAGAGAGATCTCTTAGCTCAACAAGCCCTCTCCTTCCAGCCAAGGGAATTAGGGTTTGAGGAACAGAAATGAAGTTTTTAGGGCTGGCAAGACAGCCAGCTCAGTGGCTAATGACAGTTCCGCTAAGCCTGATAATAAGAGTTCCATTCCCAGACCCACATGGTACAAGAGAACTGACTCCTGTAAGCTGTCCTCTGACCTCCACACATGTACTGTGGCATGCACACCCTTCTCCCCCTACAATTTTTTTTTTTTTTTGCAAAGTATAGAAATTTGGAGATTTTGTGTCCTTGGGG